ATCTAGCCTTTTCAAGTGTAAAATGATGAGTTCTATAGCTGGCTGCCACGAATAGGCAGGAAGATTCTATTGGCCAGTGTGAGAGCCAACAGCTGACTGACACGAATGTTAACTAGCATGCAAAAAAAATCGATAGCTGCATTCGTCACAAGTGGGAAAAATTTAAATCTGCATGGCACTTTACTCCAATTGGCTCATTCGCTTGCTTAAATTCAACGTTGATTCTGGTTCCGCAGAACTGTGATGGGTGTGAAAAAGAATTTGTTGTTAACATTCTTTTTTCATTCGGTTTTTCCAGTTACGAGTCCTTTTTTTTTAAAGCTGATTGTTTTGTGTTCATTTTGTTTAGTTCTTTTTTCGTAACAGATTTAATGTTTAGTATAGAGCTTAGAAAAAAATCGCAGTGTGAGTAAGGCATGTAGCAACATCAGCACGGCAAAGGGCACTCCTTTAAAGGCAAGGAAGGGCAAAAATATTTTAAGTTAAGTGATAGCGATTGCTGTATGAGTCGTACGATTTTGAATCAAGCACAGGCAACGCCGGGCCATGCTGCTAGTTATTATTATTATTATTTGAATTTCAGCAGCTGTTTGACTTGGATGTCCTCGATGCTAATTTCAGCATCTGCTTGATTTAGATGTCCCCGATGCTACCCACTAGCACCATGCAGTTATGATCAGCGCTTTCTTCTCACTTTTCATGACTACTTTGTCTAATAGTTCATTTTTTCTGAATCAGTTATCAAAACTGTCATCTGGGTAGCGCATTTATTACGGCTACTTCCACCGTTAATAAATCCTGGTAGGTCATCTAATCCTCTTAGAATCGTCTCATTGTATAGGTTAAATATATTGGTGAGTAAACACATAAAATTGTTTAGTTTTATTTGGGCACATCGGTTTCATAGCATCTCTATCATTCAGCTTTGCAGAATATTCTGGTCTGTTCAGATCTTTTTCAAAAATTTTTTTCTTCGCTTATTGGTTTTAGTTTTTATTAGATACACGCTGAACTACGTTCCACAAAAGTTGATACGTTAGAACGTTACTTCACAATTAAATTGCTTCTTTTAAATCCTTGGGTTATTTTCCGATAAAAATATTTTACCCACAATTTTAATAATAGAAAATCTTTTGATGTTCACATGATTTTTTCTCATTTGAAAATCTGTGTTATTTAATATTGAACTGAGAAAGAAGTATATCATCTCCAGGAACAATGATTATGTATTTATTTATGGCTTAACAAAACAAAAAGCTTTATATTTCATTTTTATGAGAGAGCTATTCCGATAATTCAAGTTCAAATAAACCAATGCAGCATGAATCTTTGTCAATTAGATATCGAAATTGTTCACAATTATTATTATCATTATTATTATTAGTAGTAGTAGTAGTAGTGGCAGTTTTATTATTAGTAGTAGTATTAGTTTTATTATTATTATTATTATTATTATTATTATTTTGATTTCTGGCGTGTACTCATTTCTTTCCGGGTCCCGACCAGAGACCTAAGGCCAGAAATGACATCATACATATTATACATAGATAAAAGGTAAGGTGTGCGCTGTACTCATGAGAACAATTTTTTTTTGTATTTCTTGCAGGTAGGGGCTGCCTGGAATCACTTCACTGAGTCTATTGGAGTCTTTTCCAATCAATCCCAGGGCTCCAACTATACGTGGAATTGTTGATGTTCTCATGTGTCACATTTTGGGGATTTCAATTTCAAGGTTCTTGTATTTTGATAGCTTTTTGAAGATCTTCAAAGATAAATTGCAATCTGCAGAAACTTCCATATCAATAAGCAGGCACTTTTTTTTTTTTTTTTTTTTTTTTTTGTTTCCGGACGATGTCTGGGCGATTAGCTTTGATTGTTTTGTTTGTGTTTATTGTGAAGTTCCATAAATTTGTTACAGGACCTATCTTCGTAACAGGGTATGGGTGGTGTTCATTCCAATGTCTTTCAGTTTCCTATCCGTAGAAGTTGCAGATTTATCAGTGCGGATATTAGCCCACTCTGCCATGCTGTGTTTTAATATTCAGTGGGTGTCAATCCCGTGCAACCTAATACAGATGGTCAATTGTTTCTGGATATTTATAACAGAATCTGCATTTTGGGATAACACAACTTTTCAGTATGTGTGCTTGATAATTTCTAGCTAGCAAGCATTGGTCCTGTGTATCAAGAATAAAACTTTCAGTTTTAGCTTCTAACCCTGCATTGTGTAGCCGCTGATGGATATGGGGTTTGTCTACACCAGCTTGTTTGGCACAGGCAGAGTTTTGGTCGTGAAGCGGTTTATCTTGCCATCTGGTCGGTTGCATTTGCTTTTGTTTTCTTTTTCAAGTATTTTGCAGCTTCAGTCGGTGTATTGTTTTACTTGTATTTCTTCACCCATTTGAAACTCCATTTTGAAGTTGTTGGCTTCCTTTATTACTGAATAAATTCTCTCACTACTTTCATGTTCTTTGACACATATTATCAATTCTTCTGTAGTTTCTAGGTATCTTTGAAGGCCAATTGTCGTAGTTTTGTAAGACAGTTCTAGTTGAACTAATCTGCTGCCTCCTTCGGATCTGGGCACATAGAGACGATCAACATCAGCTTTGGGATGATGCATGCGGTGTCAGGTGAGAAGCTTTCTCGTTTTGGCGTCCATTCATTTAATTTCAGCTATGGTCCAGTTAAGGATGTTGAAACCGTATTGCACCACAGGGACAGCCAATGTGTTTATGGCTGATATTCTGTTTTTTTAATTCAACTCGGTATTCAGTACCAGACGCACATGCTTATAGTATTCATTTCTTACCTTCTCCTTCATCTCGGTATGATGTATTCCTTCTCCTTTGCTAATTCCTAGGTACTTATAGGCTGCATCTTGTTCCAGTTCTCTAATCTTTGTGACAAAATCTAAATCTATTGAATTCTCCCTTTGTTGTTACTCTTGCACATTTATCTAATCCGAAATCCATATCTATGTCGTCACTGAAACATTTTACAGTATTGAGGAGATCCTTCAACACATTGTTGAATTTGGCAAAGAGTTTGAGATCATCCGTGTAGAGTAGGTGATTGAATACTTTCTTGTTTAGTTTGTAACTATGGTTATTGTTGTTTAGTTCATGCGTAAGGGGAATTTAGGACAGATAAAACAGAACGGCTGACATGGAGTCTCCTTGAAAGATTCCTCGTCGGATATTCAGGCGGTTGAAGATGGCAATGCCTCTGGTGTTATTTAAGTATAATGTGGTGTTTCACAGACCTATGCTGTCTTTAAGGAAATTTCCAAAATCTTAAGGATCCAGGAGTGTGGCACACTATCAAAGGCTTTACAGTAATCTATCCACGCTGCGCTAAGATTTCTACATCGTTTCCTGCAATTTTCAAGGATCATTTTGTTTATCAGTAGTTGATCTTTGCAATCATGTGAACCTCTCCTGCATCCCTTCTGTTACAGTGGAAGAATGTTGTTTGTTTCGGGAAAAGAATGAGTACAGTTCGTCAGGACAGACGTGATCAATTTATACGTGGTGGACAGACATGTTATTTGTCTATAATTTCTCGGATCATCTGTTTCACTCGTTTTTCGCATGAGATATGTAATACCTTCAGTGATCCATTCTGGGATTTCATTGGGATTATTTCTAAGCATTGATAGAGTTTGTGCAAGGGTTTCATGGATTGATGACAGATGATAGAGCTAAAAATTGGGTACCTTGTCATCATCATCATCATCATCATTATTATTATTATTATTATTCATGTGCTTACATTCACATTTAGCAAAAAAAGGAATAATTGAATGGCACTTTCCATTATTTTATTTATGCATTCTAAATTTGAAGGATAAGCAAAAATAACAGGAAAACTAGACATTGCTTTGACAGAGCATTTTAATCTTATCTATTTATGTTCTATAAGTTGCGCAAATATAGTTATTATTGTATACTTCTACCATACCGACCGATCCTTATTTTTATTAGTTTCTGCTTTAAAATTGGGCAAAAATAATCAATTATTGGAAATCGGTAAAGAAGATACTAACACTTTGATTCTCCTCACCCGAGAATTTTTTACCCTGATGTAATTGCAAAGTATTACAAGAAAATGAAACAATATAAGCAACGAAGAAATACAATTGATTATGTAACAAGTTCAAAATCTCGGAATTTGAATTTTTTCAAATCAGTCATTTTTTTCCATCGCTATAAATCTATAAAATGTCGGTAGTATTTTTAAGTAAATGTAAAAAGATGTCAATCAAGTCTACTTCTCTATTTTCTACCCTGAAACGCAGAACAGACTTAATTTTCTTCTGATTAGGGACTCAATTCTTCAGATTTTTTTAATCAGAACTGCGGCGAAATGCGAAGACAATTTTGTAATTTTAAACCATATTGTATTGTCAACTATTATCTATAAAGATTGTTTATGATTTACTTACTTTAAAATGAATTTGTGAAATGGAAAAAAGATGTTTATACTTTTCATTCCAGTACTGATACGTGTTTAAAAAAAAGAGGGATTTTCAGGAGATTAATCAAAAACATATATTTTTTACATGTTGTGTTTGCACTGTTATTATAGTACCATGTCTGCAGTTCACTTTTTCAACATGCCTTTCGCAAAAGCTATCCAACAAAAGCTTTTCGGAGAAGACGATTCATCTTTTGCTGAAGTTATATCCCCAATCAGAGGTCACACGTTTAACACCTTGGCTCAACACACACATACATACACGCGCGCGCGTACGTATGTTTGTGTATATATATGTATGTTGTTTTCACGAAAATTTTCATAATTAGTATTGAACATTCCAGTAGAGAATACATTTAAATATTTGCAATAGGGCTTTCTTTCTATTTTTAACTAGAGTTTAAATTAACTCTAGTTAAAAGTAGAAAGAAGGTTCTATTATAGAAATTTATTACGCTATTGTTCATTACGAAAATTTAACAGATTTAACCTTACATTTCAGATTTTTGGCTTCAACTCAGATGCAGGCATTCGATGCTCGAAAGGTATTCCCTTGTTTCGATGAACCTGGAATGAAAGCCCGTTTTACCGTAACTATTATCTATCCCCCAGGTAAGCAATCACCAGAAAACCCTGGTTATCTATAAGCATCAAATGAGGTTGGATCTGTCAATCTGTGTTCTGCCTTAATATACTGAAAGAGTTATGAAGGTTTTTCCTTCTGCTTTTATTCTTCCTCATTATAATCAAAATGAAATGATTACTTACTTCTTATTTATTCACTACTATATATCTTCTATTTGATAAATTAAAAAGAATTTGTTGAAATAAAAAAATCATTCTTTTCTCAGCAGAAACGAGAAGAAATTTAAATCTGGAAAATATCACGGTATCTCGATACACAATGTAAAAGATGACTCGTTTCTGGGTCTTCATCCGAGTGCGTGTCTCTAAATCCGCCCCCCACCAAAAAAAAACTTTCTTAATGTCCTCTTTCCATAGGTTCTTCTTATTTTTTTGTGTTAACAGCTGATCAAATGTAGTCATAAAGTATCCCAGCGGCATTGTCAAAACATATTCGGAAGGATGAAGGCCAATGATTTCTCAGCGCACCACAGCAATAGTAACATTTAAGAGTTTAAACAAGCCTCTTTCTCACCGTGCTAAATAAGTGAAGAGAGGAAGTCGTAAAAGTTGACTAATTTCCGCTTTTCAAGAAATATTCGTTTCAGACTACAAGACGTTATCAGGGACTTCGCCCTTTTCCAGTACACACCACTAGTTATTCTTCGAAAGGCAGTTCGTTCTAACCAATATTTAATACTTTGTTCAACTAGCCTATATTTTCTAATATCGTTCCAATTATGTTCTTGCGCAACAACTTCACCAAGGAAAAATACGCAACAACTTCACCTAAAATACGCAACAATGACATTGCAATTCGGTGATGCAATTCTACAGGAAGCTTGAAAATAAATCAATTGAACACTGAACAGCTAAAAATTATTACTTTTTTAAAGTTCCACCGAATACCAGATATATGAGAAGATGAAACATTCCAACATGATGGATCACTTTTTTATACATTGTATATAACAAAGAAGTTTGTCACTGTTGAAGCCATTACACTGTTAGATGTTTGGTTTTCCAAAGGCACTGATCTTAACATAATTTAATCTATGTGGAGAGAGTTGAAAATTTAGAAATCCAAATAGCTTGCAAGAGTTTTAGGTTTACTGTCAAAGGGAATGACAATATTCCTTATTAAGCAATTTTTAAATTACATTCTTCCATCCCACATCGACTGGAGGCTGTAGTTCGCATAAATATTATAGCCCTAATATAATATCCGTAAATATCTAAATAAATTTAATTTTAGTTTTTCTTCTATCAATAAAAGCTGTTAATTCTACGTTTTCTCTAGAGGCTCATATGCTTTATTTCAATATCACAAATGCGTTTAGGTTTTGTATAACACTTCATACTCGATCCATATGAATGAATTCCAGTTCCGAATCAGATATTTGAAAATACATTTTCGAATATTTAAAACTTCTTAGTAAAAATTAAGTAAATTAATTTTTTGACTTGATGGATTATTTCTTCTGCTCTCCACTGTATATAAAAAAAATTGTTATTCTGTATTTTCTTGCTTATGTTCAATAATTTCTGAACAAAAATAAAATTTAAATAAGCATAATTTATCTTCCGTTTTGTCCCACTGCTATAAATGAACATCATTGAACATATTGAAATAAACATTAAAGGTTTATATACAGAACTAAACATTATTAAACATTTCCTTTAACACAATTTTTATACTATAAATATATTGTAGCATTTTTACTAAGCTACCAAAAGTGTCCACTTCACAATTTTCCCATCTCTCTCTCTCTCTCTCTCTCTCTCTCTCATTTACTCACATTCTCACACACACACACATATATATATATATATATATATATATATATATATATATACCACAACTGTATATGTGTGTGTGTGTGTGTGTGTAAAAATTTCAGATAGAGCATAACTGTAAAAAGACACTATGAATAATAACTACAAAAGTAAAAAATTATCTTAGCCGACGCGTTTCGTCCTCTGTGGGATTTTATCAAGCCAAATGTAAGGATTTTATTTTGTAACAAGTATTTATATACAAGAGCAAAAATGTTATTAGTTTTTCTAAAGTTAGGCATGCTCTTAAATGTTCAGCAGGTTAGCTGAAAATATCAGGCAAGCTATGGGGGACACGAAGTGATACCATTCAATGTCTAATAAATGAAAGCGAGTAATCGATGTTTTGGAAAAAATTTTGTGCAAATTGGTATTTGATTTAATTTAGTTTTGGATTTATTTATGTGTTATCTATTTTAAATAACATGAGGTCATGGGATTAACCGTTTTCGTTTAATTTTTTAACATTTTTGTTGTTATAAATGTTGGTTTTCTTTCAGGAATGGGGATATAGGAAAAAAAAAACCAAGGTGCAGATTTATATTTTTACAAGATTCCATAGCGGAAAACTCAAAGATTTTCCTTCTAAGTCACTTTCTCTTTTGATAAGTGTGGCATTCTTTAGATCAAAGTTGTAGTTTTTATGTATAACTAATGCATTTGATAAATTGTTATGCGTAAAATCCCTTTGTATTCAGAGATACGATTTTTTTTAATTTAAGTTGTTTTGAGGAAAGGTTCTGGCAATTTATTTTATATGTAGCTGCTTCAGAATTATTACTCTTATGGATATTATTAGTTTTGATCATATCCATAACAGTTTTGGATGTTGTTGTAATTATTCTGCTATTGTTTATATTGAATAGTTTTTTCTTGGGGGGGGGGGCTGATAGTGGATATTATGGAGTTGGTAGGTATTTGTTGTAACCTAGAAAATGTTACTGAATTAGGAATAACCAAAACTGGCGTTGGAAGGGAAATGGTAATCTTTATAACATCAACAAATTACAATACTCGCCAGCGGCGTGAAGTGGGTAAATCAAAGCTAATGGTGGAGTACTTAGACAGCATATTATCCCCACTTATAATAGTGTCCAACGTATTTATGAGGTTTTAACATACCCATTAGTGTTCATAGGTACGGTATATAACAGTAGTATTATGTAGGCCTATCTGTTTTTATTTAGTTTATTGTTGTCAATAATGTTGTTATCTTTTTTGCGGTCGTATATTCTGTATGCTTTTCTCTTAGCATTTTAGATGAAATAATAAGAACATTGGCTGTTTTTGAAAGTGTTTTCTATGTATATTTCATCTTTGGGTAAGTATTGGGACTGCAGATTCTTAGTGCTCTTAAATAGAATTCTATAATTATTCTTGGTTTAATCTTGTTACAGTGGTGGGAGTAAAAATTGACCAGATCATTCTTGTTGGTAGCTTTTCTGTAAACTTCAAACTGAAGTTCGTTATTATTTCTGTGCAGCATGATATCTAGGAAGGGGTAAAGTATTGTTAAACTCAGATTAAAGTGAAGTCTATTTTGCATTCAACGTTATTTAGTTTGTTGACAAAATCCAATAAAATTATGTTTTTTGGATATATTAGTAGAGAATCATCTATGTATCTGAAGTAAAATAATTTTAAATTGACCAGAAATTCCAAAAATAGACAAGCTAAAACGCAACTGAGAGGTGACCCCCATCGGTAAACCAAATTTCTGTCTATAAAAATTGTTATCGAAAGTGAAAAAACATTAGTGATTAAATGGCACATTTTTATGATTTTATGTGTAAAGAATACATAATTTTATTTTTGCTTTAGTTAAGTTTGTTTTTAGTAGATTTAGCCATTTCTTTACAGGAACATTGGTGTATAAAGATTTTAGATCAAAATTAGTCATATATGTGTTTTTAATGCCTATGTTTTTTAATTTATTTAAAAGATAACCGGGGATTTTTATATGTGATCAACTAATTGTATCAAGAAACTTGCAAAAATCTAAATAAAAACGTATCTATGAACACAAAAGGGATCTAACGCACTACAATTTATCAAACGCATTAGTTATACTTACAAACAAATTCAACCACTACTTTGATCTGAAGAATCCCACACTTATCAAAAAAGAAATTAACTTACTTAGAAGGAAAATCTTCGAGAGTGTCGCTATGGAATCTTATAAAAATATAAATCTGCACCTCAGATTTTTTCCTGAAATGACTATTATTTTCCCAAGCCAAAATTCATGACTACAAAAATTAAAAGAAAACGGCTAAATGTCATGTTATTCAAAATATATAACATATAAATCAATTCAAAACTAAATTAATTTGCACAAAATTTCTCAAAAAATATTTCCAAAACCTCACTTACTCACTTTCGTTTACTAGACATTGAATTGTATCACTTTTAATTCCCCATAGCTTATCTGATGTTTTCAGCTAACTTGATGAACATTTAAGAGAGTTCCTAACTCGAGAATTTTGAAAAACCAATAACATTTTTACTCTTGTATATAAATACTTGCTACAAAATATAATACTCGCATTTGCTTTGATAAAGTCCCTGAGAGGACGAAATGTGTCGGCTAAGATAAGTTTTCCTTTTGTCTTTATTATATATATATATATATATATATATATATATATATATATTATGATATTAAAACAAAAACAGGCATGTTAAAAATCGATCGCTACACAATTACAATTATGTTTCATCACTCCAAATGTGCCTCCTCAGGTGATGTTAAACTACTGGCGAGTGAACGATTAATTTCATTTCAAAAGCAGAATACTTCCTGTTTTTTCGAGAAAAAAACAATAAAAATAGGCTTGTGTGCTTTGCCGTGATTAACCAATCGAATGTGACCTACACTAAATTCAGACTCAACGAAAATATTTTTTATTATAGGTCATGGAGTGCGGTTCGAATTGGAGTGAATATATATTGGGTTTCCTATATGTTTGGAATACATTATTAACAAGATCTAATGTAACATCAAGAAAATCAACTTGTTTAACATTAGTAGTTATCATAACCTTAAGATATAAGCTTTTTAATTTCCTTAATTTGTCAACCTTAATCTTAATTTCTTACTACCATTAGACCATCATTTCTGTATAACCCTATATTATCAGCATCATAAACGC